TGTGTCCAATAGGGTCTACTTTAAAGGCTTCTAGCAGCACAGCGCGTAGGTTGCACGTTTTGGCAGTAGTTGCAATCGATTTCTTAGGGTTTCTTTGTATATAATAGACTAAAATTACACCTATTCTGAAAAACTCGAAGTTGGTGTTGTCTATTTAGATGTAATCTATATAGAGAGGAAAGGAAAGGACTAAGACAAGCCTGCGAAGGTGATCTATTACTACCTATCCTCTTTCAAACAAAAGAAGGTATAGAAGCAACTATTACCTTTATTTAAGAAACAAAGGCTAGAACACAAGCCTGGTACAAGGGAAACACAGAAAACGAGGAGTAATACCTGTAACAGGTAGCCACACACCTCCCCCACCCTATCCTACCCCCTACCTACCAACCAATAGGCTACGAGCCTCACCTTCATCTAGTTAAAACCCCTCCTAAATATCGTAGCTAGAAACAACCTACTTAGATACTTGTAGGCCTTAAAACCCTACACGTCTTATATAGCCCTTCGGGCTGAAAAAGGACGTTAAACTAGAACAATAATAATAATAATAAGCTCCTGCGTTCCTATTAGCCCCTCTAGTCTTAGCATTAGAGCCTAAGCTCTGTGAGAAAATTCTCACAGGCGTAAGAAAATAAAGGAAGGCCTCCTTCTTCTCCCTACTATGCGCTAGCGCCTTAGCTGCAGGTGTTAAAAGTGCTGTTAGTCGATTCCTCGTGGTCGGTTCTCCTAGATAGCGTGCTTTCCTAGCGGTTTCTAGAAAACTCGAAGTTGGTGTTGTATGGCTATCTTTCGTAGGAATGAAAAGGTACATGTGAGTAGAATAAGAAATCTTGCGTGCCTTCGCAAGTGGTGTATATCTCCTTAACTTGGTAACAGAAAAGGCAAGGCATCCAGGTATATTCAAGCAAAACGCCCAACACCAAAGTCCTACAGACTTGCATCGTCAACCCTCTGTCTTCTCCCGGACTCCGCTCATGTTTTTACTTTGCCGGTACTCCAGGAGGCAAGCGCCCATATGCCCCTGACGACAAAGTCCTCGTCATCGTGACCTCGCAGGCTCATCTTGCCCTTCTCCAGTTGGTATCTCCGTAGCTCCTCATAGATGACCACCAATGTATCCTTGAACGCATTGCTGGGTTTGCCTCGCCAAGCACAACCCCCTCCGCCGATTTTGACACAGCACCGCTCCACCACCAAATTCATGACGTCATGTCTCTTGGACGGATAAGGCTGTGGCGCTGGGAAGTGGGCGATGCTTTGGCTGATAAAGACAGTGTAGAGGTGTAGTAATGGAAAGTAGCGTGGAGCCGTGAGTTTGGCACCATCAATGATGTATTCCCAGGAAATGTGTTCGACCGTTATGGGTAAGCAAGCGTTTGCGCGCCAAATCAGTCGGTTTGTACGTGAGTTTGTTGTTAGCCATTTTGGCAGGATGGCGCCTGCGCTGGCCATCAAACGTGCCAGGCGCACCAGCGGGACTGCAAGCCCAGTTGCTAGATTCGGCCGTCCCAACGAGTCCCAAGATGCGGCAACAAGGTTGTAGCAGTCCAGGACGGGGTCATTTTCTCGGTTGTTGGAAGGTCGAGTGCAGCGGGTGGTGTAGATGAGCGCGGGAATGATGGCTTGATCGAGAATTGAAGTGACGTTAAAGAATTCTTTGGGATGTTGCTGCCAAAGATCTTGCAGTCTGGACCAGATTTTGCCCATGAGCACCTCCAGGCGGTCGGGTGGCTGGTCACAGAGCGCCTGCCATACCGAAGGTATGTTGAAAGCTTTGCGAGGGCTCTTCTTTGGTACCAAGACGTAGCGGCAGATGGGGCAGGCGTTTGTGTTTCCTCGACCAGCGATAAACCATTTTCTGATGCATTTGTGGCCGAATATGTGTTGGCATGGGAGCGCAACAGGCTTATGAGTTGCGCTAAAGTGCTCAGTGCAAATGTTGCACGTATCGGCTGGATGGAGGTGTGCTTCGAAGAAGTTCTCCATGACTGATCGACGTGTGTGGTTGAGGGTTGAGGGGTTGGTCCAAAGAAGAGGCCAAGAGCCCCCAGGGTATTAAGGGAGTATCCCGAGTGTTTGTGGATCTGCATCAGGCGTGAAGGGACTGTCGCCAGCGAAGTGTTTGTGAAGGGGTAGCAGTGACGTGTGATTTGCGATTCACTCATTCGGTCACGTTTGCAGACGGTAGCAACGCACTTGGAGCCAATGTAGAGCCTAGTTTTGGTTGAAAGCTTCCCAAATTAGTGTCGACATTTAGCGTCCGTCCTGTGCGACTCCACCGTTGACGGCCGTTGCTTTCTGTTAGCTGCATGAAGACTACGCCATTGTTCCGCTAGCCAAACAAGCATACTCCAAGCCGTCTCAACACAACCAGTTCATCGAGTCTTCACATGCTTTGATTGCTCTTTGCGATGTCCTTTGGAAGAACTGACAAAATTCTTGTGGCGCGCTAGGTTCTCGTACTGACATTTCAGCATGACCCTGTGTTCCGTGCTCCAAACATATGTGCCTGACAAGACAGCATGACCAGTCACATGGGCAGTGGAAGTCAAATTTAGGCAGCCCTAAATTCTTGTGTTAATATATGACCGAGTAGCCAAACATAGCTGAGAGCATTACTGGTTGTGTGCACTGTGAACTGTAGTCTGTGGACTGTAGTGGTCAGATTGCCAGTACTTTAACTCCACCACCATCCAGAGTTTCGTCATCGCAACCACCTGGTGAGCCCTTGGGTGGAGATACAAAGGCGCTTCAGTATAAGAGGTTCGTTTCCACTTTTGTTTTGGAACTAGCATCTCTCATCATGATAGAGGTTCGGTAAGGACAACCAGGTCTGTTACCGTTGGTTCACCAAAGGTATTGGTAGGTCCGTGGCTAGGAAAACAGTCGGAGGGAATCTCTGTGATTAGTTCTGCGTGTTTTCTCACTGCATACTTTATGTGGAAAGTGTTGGTTGTATACTGCCAATGTCAGGCCCTACAGCGAGGGACACAGCGAGGGTATTGTATAGGCAGGCCTGCGATCCAGCGTTGGAGTGCTGACCCTGACAAAACGTGTTGACAGGTTCATGCGTTCATGATTACCGCACCTGGCTGCGACAGGTTTTGCTTCTTTCAGTCCAAAATATGTACGCATCTGCGCCTAGACGGTCTTGGCGAACATCGCTGGAACGATCGTCAGCCCAGGGTATGCAGCGGCATGTGCCTTTTCTCCGATGACACCGTGTGCTGCAACGTCCATGAGTGTTTGATGAACAGTGCCTTCTCTTTACAACGAACTCTTGGAACCTGTCACGCGACTGTTGGTGGCTTGGAGATGCATGCGCACGCGCAACAGTTCAGACTCGGGTTACAGTGGGTGGCGCGATGCTCGTTACAATATCGTTTTACAGCGTCACACAGATGATAGGAATGATATCAAGGTCAGTGACGGCGAGATGGGTCTCTGGTAATCTAAAAGGGGGTTTCTCGTTTGGCGCATCTTCTAAGGGGCTGCTGCATGTACGAGTCAGTTCTGTCGCATGTGATCATGACCACGACTTTGGGAGCAATCGGCTAAGAGTAGGGATGCTTTTCTAGAATTACGGTTTGCCATGGAAGCAGTCCAGTATGGCGGCGGTGAGATATGCGGCGGCATCTGAGTAAGAACGTTGATTGAGCATGCACGGACTTGCGGTGGTAAGATGGATGCCAGCAAGCCACGTGGCGGGTGAGATCGATAACGCCGTGTGGCTGCGAGTCTAGCTTTCCTTGTCATAGCGTAGAATACCGGGCATGTATTATCAAAGCTTAGCAACTGCGGTTTGTTTGTTAATCTACAGCTCCCAGCAAGATTGAGATGCTCAGTCTTAGATACGTTGGGCCGCTACCCGCTCTTCCTTGAGCTGGTTTAAACGCCATGTAAACCTCACAGCAGATGCTGGAGAATATGAATGATATCTGTATATTTCACGATATACCCCAGTAGTGTTCGCTCTGCTATATACCAACTTAGCTACATCTCAGTCCCTTCAAGGCCCGCTCCCCTCACCTTCCAAACCACGTATTGCGGCTATGAGATAACTAGCCACGCATACTGTGACAGGTGATTGCACCACACCGCCAACAAACGCTTTTCGCTCCCCTTCACAGCCCCAGCTCAACAGCGTGGACTATGCACAGCCATCAGACACACAATGTCCTTGTCTCACGAGTACCCGCACAGCCTCTCGAAGCTCCTACTCAGAGCTATTCATACGGCCTCTCGGATTTCTTCCCCAATCCTCAACCCGCATAACAACAATACCCCACTTACCCACATCCCGCAAATACTCAATCCCTAGTCCTACACCCTTTTAGCTTCCACGTAGGCAAGCAGCATACATAAATGGCACTCGGACCGTACTTCGACCCGCTGGGCGAATTTGAGCCCAACACCACACGCTACAAACTCAGTGTGCTTGCTCCGCCCCGCCCATTGCCTAGATGGCTGCCGTTCTGCCTAACCCGTAAACACGATTCCGAATTTCCTACAGACAGAGATCAACTGACTCGGCTAGATACCTGTGCTACGCCCGACAGCTTTTCAGTTGAGGATTTGCCGGACATGGCTCGGAAAACTGTCGTGTTGAAGAGCGCGTGGTTTCCGTGGCAGATGCGATGTGAGCACGTGCGTGGAAGTGATGGGGCGGGGGAAAATGTCAAGGGATGCAAAGAGGGGTGTTATGTGATGGAGAAAGGGGGTGAAATGTCCAAGTGGAAGTGTGCAAGGGAGGACTGTGAAGGTCATGTATACTGTGGCAATGTGTTGACAGATGAGAAAGGGACGAGTTGTTTCGGAAAAAAGGGCGAGAGAATGGTTTGTTTGAAACGGTAAGGCGAGGGTCATGGCTTGCAGTGACTGTGAGCGTGTGGCGGATGCAAAGTGGAACGGAACAGTCGGTCAGAAACCGGAAGATTCAAAACATTACGACTGTGTATATTATCTAACAGCGCTTCGTATCGTGAAAACATATTCGCTCTGCAAGAAATTTCTTGAGCATTTCAACCCGTACATTGCATCTGATTCAAAGACGATTACAGGAAAAAGGCAGCAGCAGCACCAAGACCAGCCAAAGCAGGAACCATAGTCATGATTGGCGCGGCACCGGCAGAATCTGTTGACTTGGAGGTGGGAGAAGCGTCCTTTGAGCCTGAAGCAGTAGGCTTGTCGGACTTGACAGCCTGGGAACCAGAGGGAGTAGAGGAAGCAGTGGCAGAGGCACCAGTGGCAGAAGGCGACCCACCCGCAGAAGCACTGGGAAGCAGGTTCTCGCCAGCTGTAATGACGATGGGGAACATACCAACGTAACCTTCGGGTAGGGTAGTGGTCATACTGGTTTCGAGAGCGCTGCCACCACTGCACACGTCGGGATCAGCATCGTCTCCCCCGCAAAACGAGCTGATAGCAGCGTCAAGGCCCTTTGTTGAGATGGTGCAGGTTGCAACCTTTTCAGAAGTGTCCTTGCGTGTGCATTGGCCAACAATGTATACAGATGCACCCATGTCGGCCGCGTTTGCATCGAATCCGTAGTAAGTGTTGCCTGCGACAGTGATTGTTTGGGCGATATCTGCCTAAACGTGATTTATCAGTATATAAACTGTACACGGATCTTGTCTTTGCATACAACAAGTTCGCTAGAGCCCGACTCGGTTGGCAGTGCCATGGACATGGTGGTTCGATCCTTGTCGACTTTGACAACTGAGGCCTTGAGCGAAACGCCACCGCTATCAGCGCCGGGCATCCAGATGGAGGTGGTCAGCTGTGCGGCCGCACATGAGGCAAGAAGCGCGGCGGAGAAAATCTTAGACATTATGACGGTCGTGGGTCGGAAGCGGATGGGGCCTGGGGAGGTTGGAAAAGAAGGTGGATGGAATATGGATTCACACTAGCGACGACAAGCAATAACGAGTGGTGCTTGACAGGGAGCAAAGGAAACGGGGCCTTGTGAGTCTATTTAACTAGGAGAATCAAAAAGATGGAGGCTTTCGCTTGGACTGCTTGAACAGCGCACGATGCAGGCGGCCTGAGATGCACGAACCCCTGAAGCGGTGCTTGATTGGCTCCCAACGCAGACTAGTTGAAACCTATAGATGGGACGGCTGCCTAAAGGAATTCGTAGGAGAAAATCCTCCATGGTTCAAGCGGGGCGGAGTTGCCATGGGTGTGGGTGTTGGTGAAGGCACGAAGCTACGCGTAGCCTTTGTCCATATTCACAGGCTCGTGGTCATCTTCTCCACAAGCTGAACATCGGAACACATCCACCATGTGTTCTTTTGGCGCGTCTGGCCTCTGCCGCATCATGTCGATAGCGTTGTGCTGCGTTGATCGCATCTGTGCCGCGTTCGTGGATATCGAAATTCTAGATTGATGGCTTGGTTAAGGCGTGTTTCGGGCGCCGCCTGGGAGCCAATGCCGGAGGTAGCGCCAATCTCGCTATGCAGGCGAGGTCTAAGCGCAAGCTAGGCTGCCAGTGACAAAGGGGGATTTCACGGCAGGGCGCATGTCATCGGTAATCTGCCATGGCGAGCGAACATGTTGGTTGCATCATGTGGGTGTACCTGTGCAGCGAGGCGCGTGGTGGCTGTGTGCAAAGAGACAGAGACCAGGGCAAGAGACGTGGATCTGCAGGGCCGACATCCGCCAAGACCCGCTGACATAATATCGCCTTCAGAAAAGTGGCGCATCTTATCTACATAGGCACACCACAGGGTCACAATGACACCACACCATCGCAATGCATAAATTTTTCATCAAATAGAACAAGGCCTGATTGTGTGGAATAACCATTTGGATAAGAACTGGGTATCGAGAACCAATAGCAAACAGAACGCTACACAAACCCGTCTTGTCATAATGTCACACAGCCAATCTCGCCTTCAGCCACCATTCTCGCTGCTCATGTCAAAGCATGCCAGCGGCCGTGTCTTTCCTCACGCCCTCCAGCCACCTGCTGATACCGCTTCTCACATGTCTTGGACTAATCTCATCTTAGGCTCTCCTCGGTGTAGTACTCCGCCCCGCGGCGCATACCGCTCGAAAAGTTGTAATCGTCGTCGTCATTGTCTCGGGCGCGAAGCAGGTCTTTGCTCCAGCCCTGAAACGGCTTCTTGAGCGCCGACCGAAGCGATGAAGTAGAGAATGCGTGGTGCTGAGTCGACGCGTCAGGTTGCACAGCCGCACAAGTGACTGAAGAGCTGCGGCTGGTGGACTTGGAGGTTTCCGCGACCATGTTGGTATGTAGTAGAAATGCAAATAAAGAGTGACTTTGCGTTAAGTGATTGTTAGGAATGCTCTGAGAGCTTGCTGCTACTGCTGCTATTGATGAAGATGACTTTTTGCTTGGACAAGTTGAGAACCTGGGGCCCCAAAGACGATATATACGCCTTTGGCCAGACAAGTCCTTTCGCGCCCAACAACCCAACCACGCAACTACCGAGCCATCGCCGAAAACCCCAAGGTTGAAATACACCGTTACAGTGACCCACATCAAGAGCCTCAAGCCACAACGTACCTGATCAGCGGGGCCCCAGCAAGATACGAGGTTGCCATTGGCGCAACGCCCCGCGGGAGGCTCGGGGCGCTTCGGAATTGCTCGGCGAAACGAGTCAATTCGGACATGACCAGGGCATGTGACGTTTCGCAGGCGGTCTTTTTTCTTAGTCGATCATTGGGACATTCCGGGTGACATGGCCATGCATCGACGTTTTTTTTATCCTCTCTTGTGCGTTTTTTTTCTTCTGGCATCATATTGTTTACGGATTCTAGAAAATACGCTTATCTTGACTTGACATGATTCATGGAATGCAATGCGATAAGAAGTGCGCTAACTGACTAAGTGTACATGTGAAAAACGGCGGCCTAGATTACTCTCAAGGGGTTTTTTTTACAAAAATTGCTGCATGGATTGCGTATGCTCATCAAGTGGCAAATAAACAGAGAATAGTATCAGCCTCACCACAACTCAAATGTCACCCCTGTACTTCTCACTCATTCCGTTAAACGTTCCGTGAAATCCAAAACTCATCGGTCCATGCATCTTCGCTCTGCCCATCTCACTCAGGTCCTTTGCTCGAAGCACAAGCAAGTAGCTCTTTTCTTCATGTCCATCCAGCACCACGCTGAGTAGCACGCCATCGTCCTCCTCGGTGCCGTCAGGGTCAGCAACAAAGATGGGCTCGCCGGGCGTGTGTCCGTCTTGCTCCCAAAAAATTGACTTCTGCGTCTTATTGTCGAACTTGACAAGGCCGTCGAAGAAGGTAGATCGGAGGCGATCGGCACAGCCGTAAGAGTAGCGGTGCGGACGCAAAAGGTACGCTGGATTGATGGTTCCTAGTTCCATTGAGTTGAACTTCTCCGCTTTGAAGACAAGTTCGGCGGGTAGCGGCTGGGTGGTCGGGAGACCGGCGTCGACGCTGGGAAGACGGAACTGCGTCTGCATAGGAAGCGAAGACATGCGTCGCTCACCGGTATATTCAGGCGTGTCAATAGACGAGATGATGTTGTCGTAGTAGAACCGCGTCACCACGTCGAGGTTCTCAAACATGCTCAGCTCGGCGATGATATCCGTCTTGCTGGGGTCAGAGACAGACGGTACTTCCCAGGCGTTGATGCTGTGGAAGCAGAAGAAGGGGTCGCTCTCGTACGTTGCTACCAAGCCCTTGCCCTGTTTACGATCGACAACGTACCAGCGGGCTTTCGACTTGGGATCAAACGGGGCGATAGAGTCGAGAATGTTCTTGTTCCACTTGAGCGACAGACCACCCCATGTGATGTGAGAGTTCCAAACACAGAGTATGACATAGTTTTCTGTCAAGAAGCTCGAATGAATATAGGCTGGTGTACCAGGAAAGGTCGCAAGGATATCCGTTTCACCCGTCGCTGCCGACACGCGGAAGACGCGGTAAGTACTGTTGGGTCCAAGTTGGAGGTTGAAATTGAACATATCGCCCGTCGTGGGATCCGACTTTGCGTGGGCTGCCGAAAAGGGTCCACTGAGCTCTGGGTGAAGGGCCGCTTGTCTGGCATATCCCTTTGGCTCCAGCGTTTCTGGATCGATCCTCTTGAGTGCACTGGAGTCTGTCTTTACGACCAGACTCTTTATGCCGTTCGTGTGGTTGTTGGTACAAGTTTCCTTGCTACGGCCAACCTTGTCGCTGCCAGGCATGTTGATGGATAGAGTTACTCCAACATTTTTCTCATTCTGAAACTTGGACACGAACAAGCTCATGACCTTTTGGAAAAAGCTCTCGCAGGGGTCCCGCTTTGAAGCGAAAGTGATGCTGTCAAGCCTGCCTGTTGTACGAACGATATTGATGTACTCATCTACGATACGCCTAGACCGGTACGTCACTTTGGGTGGGCCATTGGGGCCCTCAAAATCGATCTGGAAGCGATGGACGCAGGAGAAGCCGTCAAACCAGTGTTTTGCAGCCCAAATCTTGCCATCGTTGGTCTTTGCCTTGAAGCCAAGGGGCCCTGTCCGATAGAGCACACCTGCAGCATACTGCGGGATGGTGCCTGTGACGCTGAGCTCCACGGGCTCGTGTTCTTGGTAGTCCGTATCGAATCCCGCTGTGTTGGGCCAAACATCCGTCGTTGCAACCATGTTGAATTATGGGTAACTAAGGCTTGACCGCCAAGTGATGCTAAGGGTTAATGACGAAATTCTTTGATCGACAAGAGTTGAAAGATCAGTAAATAGCAATGGGAACAGACAATCGTTGGAGAGGTGCGCCGAATACAGTTCAAGGATAACCGGATGGCGGATAAAATACGTGGCAACGGAAGATGGACTGAAGTATGGGAAACCTCTGGTCGTCCATCCGGGAATGCCTTTATACATTTCGACCGGAGTGGACGGACATAGGCAGACTTCCGCCAAGACAAGCCCCAAACTGCCTCGGACAAGGGATCCACTAGCAGGAGACCGCTAGTCATGACATCCAACGTACGTATGCTTTCATCTGAAGCCGCAACACCCTCCTCAAAAAATGCCAGCCAAGCGCCAGAGCCGCATTCGCTAGGCCTTGTTTATTGGCGGGAGATATTAGCTTCTGCTGTAGAAGATGTGATTGGTAGTGTTTGCAAAAAGCAAAAGCAGCAGTGATGGCCGTGCGCAACTCCAGCCATCTTCATAGTACCTCAAACTCCAGCGGTCAGCCACATGTGATGCTCGGAAGCACGAGCTAAACGCGACTTGAACCTTGGGAGCGGACACCAAGCCGTCTTGGCTCTACATCGGCGGTCTAGTCTTTTTGTTGTGGCTGACGTCTCCTAGATTTCAATGTGTTCTATTCGCTGGAGTAGAGGGAGGAGAGGAGTAACAAACCTCCGGTCCTGATCTTTCGGCCGCAAGCAATGCCAGCGGCCGGCCATGGATGCCGAAACATGGAGTCAGCCCATGCTCCAATGTTAGTCGTACGGCGCTACTAAGCTGCATTCGGCGACAGCGTGGCCCATCATCTTCGATGTTCAGGTGTATAGCGCGCTGGCTGACCGGCATCTTCACCACGGAGCATAAATCACCTGGAGCTTACGGCCGTAAGAGAACGCGGCTGTCGGACGGAGATGGTGGAGCAAAAGGCCAAGATTCTCGGGACCAGGTGGATACACGGAGCAGTTGCCGCCACTTGGCTGCCATGATTCAGGGAGAAACGTATCGTGAAAACCAAAAAGTCGAGCATGCGTAGTAGGTGTAGAGTAGAGGCACACAAAGTGGCGTAGAACCACTCCACAGGATCGCCAAAGGTGAGCGTTAAGCCAAAAGCAGCACTAGCGGCCCCCAAGCCTCAGCCCTACTAGTGGGAGACGGTTGTTGCATCATCAACATCCACGCTCGCTTTCACACAAACCCCCGCGTGCCTATCGTTTCTATGGCTCTTTGACAAATCCACACATAGCAAGCGGATACTTGCAAGTCCAGGTCCCAATAAAACCACTACATGGCCTCCTAGTCGAAACCAATCCTCGCGAAAACGACCGGCCCGCCCAAAGACAAATTTCGAAAGTCAACTTTCTTTTCAGGACACCTAACAACACGGGGCCCACGACCACCACAATGGGCGCCATACTGTCCCTCCCGTTTACAATACTCAATTTCGTCCTTCCCTTTACGCGCGCGGGCACACCGCTGTCGCAAGATCTTTTGCACACAGCCGTACTCTGCGGAACACTATATTTTGCCCCGCAGATAGGCGAATGGTACAATGCGCGGCAGCAAGGACACGGATATTCAGAGCAAGGGGAGCAGGAAATCCATGCGCCTCACCAAGGCGACGACCGGGAGCTCAGAAACAGGGAGCCACAGGGCGACGAGCCACCACTAGACGAGCGGCTAGTCCTCCAGGACGACGGAGAAGAAGAAGGCGGTGGTGGTGGTGGTGCAGGAGGCGCGAGACCACCCCGAGCACCCACTCCGCCGCCAATGCGACACCAGGCCCATGTCGAAGACGACGACCATGACGCGATTCCCGTGCGCCATCAGCACGAAGAAGCAGATCCGTTTGCGCCTGGTCCCGCCAACCCGCCTCCTGCGAACGCCCGCGCACCGCCCACACAGCGTACTGTCGGCACGAAAAAAGCCAAGTCGCTCGCGCGCAAAGACCAGCAACGCGCTTACAACGAGTGGCTACGCCAAGAAGCCGAGATACGTCGGCGGCAGGAAGACGAAGGCCGCGAGGAGCGCGAGGCTGCGCTGGCCTTGGAGCGGGAACGCCGTGCAGCCGCCGAGGAAGCAATCCGCGCAAAGGAGAGAGAAGAGAGGGAGGCTCTGAAGCGGGAGAGGGAAAAGGAGGCAGAAGAAGAGGCGGAGAGGAGAGAGCGGGTAGTCAGCTATGTGAGGAGTAAGCTTGAGCAGGATGGATGCGTCGATTTGGTGGACGCGGCGTGGAAGGAGGGCAAGGACAGTACGTGGGTGGAGAGACTTGTCCGCGCTTCTGGCTTGATGGGCCAGTCGCAGAAGGATGGCAGTCGGGTCATGTTGACGGGCAAGGATTGGCTGGTTAGGATCGACCAACAAGTCGTGGCGAGGGCGTATGCCGAAGCGGAGCACTTTGGACAAGCCAATGGTGGAAGACTTGGCTTTGGCGACTTTGGAAATATCTTGGAGAAGGCGGTGCTTGGGAGCATAGAGGCGTGAAGTCAATCATCACGCCTTTTGCATCAATGGCGTTTGGACAAAGGGACACAGGAAAAGGCAGGATACCCATAGATGAATTCGCAGCACAATAGCGCTACCAACCCTCGCTTTTTCGACGCTGATACGCGCCCTCTACATAGCATACAGCCATACTTTTCCTACCCTCGGTGTCGACAGCACCTCCCATCCCTCAGGCGCCCTAGCATCACCTTACACGCAATGGTTCGATCGCTTGAATGTGGTATCGTATTGTCCATTTTTATCATGCAACCATGAAAGAGGTCTTATTCGCCTAGAGAAGCCATGTCATGCATAAGATCCCCCAATTCCGTCCGATCAAAAATCCGACCAGACAGCCATTCGAAAGAACTCCTTCCAGAGACACCATGCACACACACATACAGAATGCACGCCCTTATCGGTTGGACTTGGCGACACGCTCGAGCTCATCCTTCTTCTTGATGGCGTACGAGTTGCTGCTTCCCTTGGCAGCGTTGATCAGCTCCTCAGCAAGGCACTCGGCAATGCTCTTGACGTTGCGGAAAGAGGCCTCGCGGGCACCAATGGTGAGGAGCGAGATACCCTGGTTGACACGGCGGAGGGGAGACACATCGACAGCCTGGCGACGGACGGTACCGGCCGAACCGATACGTGTGGAGTCTTCACGGGGACCGCAGTTGACAATGGCGTCGACGGCGACCTGGATGGGGTTCTGGTCGGTCATGATGTGGATCTGCGCTTGTCAGCACCATTTTCTCCTCCATGCCAGCCTTTTGCGACTTGAAGTCTCTGACAGTTGTTGGTAGACGTACAATCTCGAAAGCGTGGGCAACAATGCGGACAGCCATGAGCTTCTTTCCGTTGTTGCGGCCGTTCATCATGAGCGAGTTGGTGAGGCGCTCAATGATGGGGCACTGGGCCTTCCTGAATCGCTTGACGGCATATCGGCCGGCCGAGTGTGAGATGTAGACGGGAGAGCGGATCTGGATGTAGTCGCTGCGGCTTCAGTTAGCCGAAGGTCTCGCAGCGCAATACAAAGAGTCCCAATGCCATCACGTATTTCTCCTTCATGTACATGTGCGGCGCGAGATCGAGGTGGGGGTAACGTACGTCAATGAGATGTCGCGGACTTCGACCTCCTCGTAGGACCACTGCGAGCTGTTAGACTGGTGTGCCGTCGCAAAAAATCGTCATCTGCCTGCCTTGTTGAACAGCTTGACGCTGCCCTGCTCCTCGGCGACATCCTTGGGCAGGATGTTGATACCGGTAGGGTTCTCGACCTCGATTTCTCCGTTGTCAGACATGATTGCGGCTGTCGGTGTGTGAAGGAGAAAGAGGGTTGGGCGTCTGGGTCGTTGTCGCTGCGGAAGTTCGATGGGCTCGTGTGTGTCGGAGTCGATATTCGTTCGCTTGGTGCGCCAATAGCGCGCTAGCCGGCCTTGGCGTGCACGCGCCCGACCGCCTTTGCATTCTGCCATGACACAGGCTAACCTCCCCACAAATCAGCTACATGTCAGTGCCGCGAGGGTGTGGGTGTTAATTGATGAATGCTATGCCCATCGCTAGACAATCGCCCCATGTCCCAGACATTCCGTATAGAATATCCAACCATCTAGTTCCATATGCATGCGAACAATGTGTGAATGGAGAAGGATATTGATACAAATTACACTCACTCTACTCTACTAATCATCAAACATAAAAGCGTAACTGTGGTATATAACTCAGTTTTTGCCTAATCAAACGAACCAACATAGGAAATCCAACGCCAAGTCCAGTAGATGATGCAACAATAGTAGCCTCCAACTCCATGCAATGCCGCCAAGCGCAAGTTAAAGCCGCGAACGGAGAAATAAAGGGTATCACGACTCTCTATGCGCCTTCGCCAGCACGCAAGTCACCGACAAACGTCTCGAAGCCTTCTAGTATCGAGCAATCATCTCTGCAGCCTCGATACACTTCGTACCCTCTGTATAGGTGCACTGATGTCCCTTCGGTCCTTTACTCCCTCTACCATCTGCTTCATCGGTGTTCCGTGCCCGGCAGCCATACTTCTAGCACGGCCGCGTCGCTCACGGATTGCTGCAAGGGCAGCCTCTCGATCGAAGCCAACGTTGTTCAAGGACAGCTCGCCCAAGACAGGCGTCTGTGCATCTGCCGCGGCGTGGGCGACAGTCGAAGGAGTCATAGGGCCTCGTCCAGCCTTGTAGGCTGGGGTTGCAGGAGAGAAGTGCAGGGGAATTGTGGTAGTGGTGGTGATGGTGCGTGTGAGATAGGGAGTGACAGGTCCAGTGGATTCACGTTCTGGTAATACATCGTCGTCATCACTGTCCTCAATGGCATCCTCGTGGATGCTGATATCGCCCGACTTGCTCTTTCGATCATCGCGCACGAAGGCAACGCGGGACGCTGGGCGCGATGTTGGGCGTGACGCTGGAAGAGAAATCTCCTCGGCAAGAACCGATACCCTCTTTGCGCCGAGATCCCGTGGTGGTGCTTCGGCCATCTCTACAACGGGCGACGGCTCTGCTGCAGCCATCGTTGGCCGTGCCTTCATGGGAGAAGGCACAGAGCGGAAAGTGCCCGTAGATGGTGAGAACGCGACGACAGTGTCTGGCTCCTTGGCAAGCGGCTCGGCATCTGCCACAGGAGTGACGGGACGCTCAGCTTCAACAGGGCCCTGCTTCATGACTACACCCTCCATGGCATCGTCTCCGTGGTTGCTAGCTGGAGGCGTAAAGACTGGCTGAGTTGACTTAATACGCTGCATCTCAGCTTGGAGAGAGTCGTCGTGCACAAACTGCTTGCCTCTTGTCTCGGCAATACGGCATGAGCAGCACTGGAACTGACACTCCATCTTCATAAAGTCAATCTGCTCTTCAGCACGCTCGCGGGCACGCTTCTCTGCAGCCAACTCTTGTTGGATGAACCGCAGCTCCACTGCACCCTTCTTTGGAGAAACGTTTTCCTTATCGTCATCTTGGCGGGAACCCTGTTGCTGCTTGCGCGGTGATCGTGGTGGTGATGCGAACTCGTCATGCTCGTCAGACTCGGCGGATGGTAGCGGTATCTGGCCTTCAGCGGCAATGCGCAAGACCTCTTCCTCTTTCAGACTCGTCTTAAGAGCATCTCGCTCTCCTTCGGCCAGGCTCAGCTTCTCCTTGAGTGCCTGCACCTCTTCGTTGAGACGGTTGCTGGTGCTCTCAAGCTCCACCTGCAAGTTGTATACATCGTTCTTGTATTTGGTAGCCTCGTCGGTCTTGAACTTTACGTCCGACTCAGCCCGCTGCAAACTACGCTGTAGGCCTTGGATTTTAGATTGTAGTTGTGGGATCATGGATGAATGCCGGAGCTTGTCGTTGTTTGCCTCAATCCACTGCTTCTTGTAGCTTCGATATTTGCCTTCGTAGGTTTTGGCCTGGTTTTCTGCCTCAACCTGTACGCTGTTAGCATTGCGCAATCGGCCCTAAATACCATGCTGACTCACCATCTTGTGTTGCATGCCTTTCCACCGCTCTTCGTTTTGCTTGAACACAGTCTCCCACTGGTTAATGGCAGCCTTGTTCGCCTTGCGCTCTTTTTCGTAGCGCTCTTTGGTGATGGCAACCTCGAGCGAGCCACTGGCGTTCTCGAGCTCACTCTTGAGCTCTTCGATGCGCATGTCGCGCCGGCTGAGCGCCATTTCGTGTTCCTTCTCCTTTTTCGCGTGCTCCTTTTCGAGCTTGGCCAGCTTCTCCGCGTGTCGTGCCTTTTCCTTGTCTAGCAGTTCCTTGAAACGCCTGCACGCTTCTCGTGGGTCCTTAACCTCGAGGTTTTCAAACATGCCGGTAAGGGCTGTGACGGAAACGTCCGAGTCGGTTCGGCGGTGGGTGTGTCGCAGCGGCGAGTGGGTGCGGAGGGGCGATGTCGACGGGGACAGTACCGGTGATGCATTTGCAGAGTTGCTGCATAGTGGCTTCGTGCTGCTGCGTTCAGGACTGGCAGGAAAGACGGGCATTCCAGGGGAGAAGGCCATTTTGTTTGGCGAGATGGGCGGATCCAGCTGGACCGGGGATTCTTTGAGACGCGCCAACTTGACGGTATTGGAGGATTATGTATGTTGTGAAGAGGCAGTGCTTTTGCCCAAAGAAAACAACAAGCAAACTTTGGTAGCCTAGCAAAGTGGTGGTGCGGGATAATGGGATGTGCGGTGGTGCGAGCACAGATGGCCGAGTGTAAATAGCGCTAGTCTGTGTCCCGATGCCTTCCTGGCCGTACCATAGCAACCCGCACGGGCCATGCGATCCGCCAACCCCACGTCATCCACACTCACCGCACTGGACCTGAACGACGGGAGAAAGTTTGATTGCCCGCGGCCGGCACTGGATGATTGCTCATACAATGTGCTTACGTTTGGCGCTGGGTAGGCGTCTAGAGATGCCACAATCGTTAAGACTCGTTTCTCCAGCAAGCTTGCACAAACAGAACACCATGCTCAGATCGTCTTTGGTTCTATTGAATCGGTATACACACCCGCAGTCTTGGCAGCACAACCCTTGTTTCAGCTTTCTAGCAAGGTTGATACGCCCGCCTGAGCTGGTAGGGTTTCGGGCCAGCCGTGCGGATGTACCCGCGGGCCGCAACCCCTATGCTTGACAGATTGAATATATCCCTTCCGTCTATCGAGTGTCTATCGAATGAATATCGTCATGTTCGTACTTGTCGTATCTTCGGGATCCAATGTCAAGCACATCCCTAGCTACCAAGCTGATGATTGTGAACAAGTCTCCAGTGACGGACACGAAAAATTGGATGCAAATGTTTACCATCCATATATACATATATTGATTAATGGTGCGTAACAAACAAAGGCAGTTTCTACAAGGACAATCTAGTCTACAAAAGACTCGCGTGTCTGGAAACAATAATGACCGCTGGAAACATACAAAACCAGAGACTTGCAGCAACGCTCGCTTGATAACCAGTACAAGAAACGCCTCGTAAAAACCATTTTGTCGGATGCCCTCGGGAGAACCAAACGCCTCCTGTAAAGAGAAGAGAAGTTTCGGACTTTTTAGATGTTGAAGGAAATTGAAGTACGCTCCGCAATGCCAGGATAGCTATACCCGAGTCATAGTCGTAAGAATAATATCGCCACACTTGCCCTGTCAGCCGTGGAGATTGGTAAAAGCATTGACCGCATGTAGTAGTAAAAATGGTTCCGTTTAGACCTCCCAGGGTTGACGTGGACGTTGAACGGTGCCGTAACCTCTCGGCTCATCCTCTTCCAACAGGCTTTCCATGATGGATCCAACATCCGTATTTGTTACTGTCATCGCATCTTCTTGATCCAGCCTCTTGTGCATGCGGTGCACCTGAATAGCAACGTAGGCGACCAGCGCGCTACCCACGACAAACGCAGAGGCCGCGAAAAAGATATTTGCAGGAGTCGGGTCACCGTCAAACTGACTCTTGGTCAAGGCATCAATACCCGTCTGCGAAAGATTAACCAATCCAGAGATACAGATGATGGTGCCGTACACCCTGCCAAATGTAGCAAAACCGAAGACTTTGGTGGCGTAGTCAGACATGGTAGAGTAGTAGAGCGGGCGCAGAAAGACAAAGAGGACGACATTGACATAACCGGCCCAAAGCGTGGGGATTGAGCCAAAGATGCCGATGGCGGTAGTCATGACGACGAGAAGGAAGAGAACGCCGGCTGTGCTGACGTTATCGAGCAGAGCGCCGAGAAATGGAGTAGAGAAAACTCCGGCGAGAGGCAGTGCAACGTCGAAGAAGTTGTTTACCTTTTCGGCCAACTCGACGGACCCGAGCATGTACACATATTGTTCGCGGATCGTGGCAATGAAGTAGTTCATGCGCACCATCTGAATGATGGTCAGAAGAACGAGCAGAATGAACCAGGGTGTCAGCATTTGGTCTTTGGCAGACTTGTTATGCAGAGCTCCCCAAACACCAGAGGCTTCTAGTTTTCGCTCCTGCTTCTCCTCTCGGATCTTGCGGGTTGTTTCGTCGCCGAGAAGGTCGTCGAGCTTGCTCAGCCGCTCCTTGCGGCGAATGCTGCGGGCTTTGCGGCGCCTCCACATCTCTTCATCGGACAGCTCGTCGTCTGAGGAGTGCACGTCGCGCATAACATTTTCGGCTTTGTGAATCTTCATCTCGAGCTGGGCTTCGGTCTTGTAGTTCTCCGAGGGCAAGAAGGTCAGCTGCGCAATCGTGATTGCGGCTGGGACAATCAGATACATGAGGAAAAACGTCTCTGGCTTGAAGGCGCGGTCGCTGGCATCGTAGAGAAGCCTGTAGAAGAGAAAGACTGCTGCTGAGGCATCAAAGGCGCCTGTGACGAGCGCTACAATGCTGCCGCTGTATTTGGGGAAGGCGTTAGCAATCTGGAACGAAGGCAAAAAGACAAAAGTGCCTCCCAGGGCGAGAAGGAAATTGCCAATTGTGTAGCCGTCGAAGTGTTCGATCTTGAAAGCAAGGCTCATGAGAATACTGCCCACAGCGAGGCAGAAGGAGCCGGTGAGAAAGCAGAGCTTGGGGCCGTAGCGGTCCAGCAACGTGCCGACTGGCAGGGCAGAAACATTTGCAGTAGTAGAGGCCAAGGAAAAGAAGAAGTTGAGGCGGAGATCTTGCTCGAAGCAGACTTCGACATTGTCGTCAAGCTCTTCGGGGGTGCACAAGTCGCGGAAGACACCTTCTTTGACGAGAATTGGCTTCAGCGCGGCAAAGCCAAAGACGATACCGCTGGCAAACCAACACGCGAGGACGGTTGCAATGACCTGAGCTGCAGAGGCAAGTTGGTCAGCTGCGTCTTTGTTGGACCATTACTCGGTGCGGGAAAACTTACCGATACGCTTCGCAGTCGAGACTTTGTAGGGTGTTAGACCGCCGGGCTCCTCACCGGACGAGGGTTCGCCGGGCTTGGGAATGACATCGTAGCTGATGACTCTCCGGACGCCCTTGGCGTGGGGATGCATGAAGCCGGCGCTGGAGATGGCGCTCTCGAGCGAGAGTCGGCGCTCAGCAGCATCCTGGCGGCTCTGCTGGCGCTCAATGGGCGGCAGAAACACGTCTACGAGCGCCTCTTCGCGGTCAGTGCCCTCCTGCTGTGTGACATGCTGAATCAGTGACATGGGAGCTCTGCAATGGGCGAGGCGTGTGCTGGGGCTGTTGTGTGTGAGGAAGACGGCGGCAGAGCAGCACAATGGCTACGGAGGGAGGGAGCGAGGGAGGGAGGGGAAGGGCAGGGAAGTGAGAAGCAGGGCAGGCGTGTTTTGTTGACTGGGGGTTGGCTGGGCGAGGTGAAGCACGCAAAAAGCACGAAGGAGCAGGAGCAGGAGCAGCAGCGGGCAGGAGCCGTGTTAAATCGAGGCATGCGCGCGAACATGACACAAGGCCCACGATCTAGACGGAGCGACGGCGGGGGTCACATGGCGCGTCTGGTCTGGCTTGGGAGTGCGGCAAGGACGGGGGGTGCCGTTGCTCACGTTGCGACAGCGAGCGCGCGCTGGTCGAGGCGCGCGCATTCTGGCTGCACATGGAGGATGGCCCAAACGAGCATCCACATGCCTGCCGGTAAGGAAGTACATGTACATGCACCTGTTCGCTTGGGAGAAAGACCGCGAAACGTCCAAAACGGCCGCAGCAGCGGCGTGATTGGCCTGCGCCGCGCAAAAGAAAACTCCCCGCACGCCCCCGATGCAGCTTCGCGCAGCTTCGAGCAGCCACACACCACCACGCACCGCAGCAGGACAGCAGAACAGCCATCACGCCACATCATCTTTGCCTATCTCTGCTATCGCCATCACCGTCACCATCGTCTGCGGTGCTGCTGCATCTTGCTTCGCACACGCGCCATAAGCCGCGCACATCACTACGCAGAGCACCCCCACATGCGCTCCAACAACCTGCTGCTGCTGCCATTGCCTTGCTTACCTATATCTATGTGTAGTACTAATGTACACTGCCCAAGACGCTGACGCCGTGCCAGCTGCTTATACATATTATCACGCCCCCTTGTGATAAACGTCGGCATCGAACTTGGTGGGGAATCGCTCGCGTCCCTCAGCATCACTTCGCACCCACACCGCAACGCTCGTGCCCGGGCACTTGAACAGCCCGTAGCCCTCGCGGTCAATCTCCACCTCGCCCTGCTCCCACCCCAGCACGTCGCTCCATTTCTCGCCCGCGTGCATCTCGCCCACCGCCATCCTGATCTGCCCGGGCCCTGCGTTGCTCATGACGCATGCAAGTCCCGCCACCTTGTCCCACGTCCCCCGCCGCACAAACCCAATGCAATTGGCCTCGTTGAAGTAATCCTCCTGCGCTCCGTAGGCAAACAGCTTGCGCGCCAGGATGAGATCGCCTAGCTTGCCGCCGCACGACGCTGGCGTCTCGTGTGGCTCCGAGAGGCCGTACAGGTCGCCATAGAACGGACATGGGTATCCCTCCTGCCGCAGCAGGATCAGCGCATAGGCCAGCGGCTTGAAAAACTCTTCGATCTTGGTCTCCATGACCTGCCCGGGCTGCGTGTCGTGGTTCGTCACCACTGTTACCGCGTCGACGGGCCGCAGCTGCACCAGCGTGTCGTCAAACACTGTTCGCAAGTCCGCCGACTCGGTCGTCGACAGCGACCCAAACTTGTTTAGCAGAGGCGAGTCGTACAGGGCGAATTCGCGGTTCATCTCGTCGAGCCAGTCGCTCATCTCCTTCACATCCCCCGACCAGAACTCGCCCACGATAAACACATCTCCGCATTGCTCGCGGAGATTCTTGATCCACTCGCTGGTAAACCTCGAACTGAAGTGCTGCACCGCATCAAGCCGGAAGCCCTTGAGCCCAAGCTCCTTGGTTATCCACACCCCCCACTTCTTGACGTCCTCCTGCACCTCTGGGTGCGAGTAGTCGATATCTGCAAACATCATATAATCCGCATTGCCCTGTTCGTCGTCGACGTGCTTCGACCAGCCTTTGTTGTCGCCCAATATCTTGTAGATGGCCTTCTTCTCGTTGGCTTGGTTGTAGTCGGTCCCGGAAAAGTGCTCCCAGTGGTACTTCATTTGCGAGTACTGCTCGCCACGGCCGGGAAAGTCGAATCCCAGCCATCCTTCGATTTCATAGGCATCAGATACCTCCTTGGTGCGATCGTTTGCGTCAACTTCAACAACGCGGCATTTTTCTGTCCTGTCTGCGCCCGCCTTGTGATTGAGCACCGCGTCCCAATACAGGCCAATGCTGTGCTCCTTGGCGACTTTGGTGAGCTCGACCAGCTCCTCTTTTGTCCCCCACTTTGTGCCTGTTGCACCCTTCTGATCAAACTCGCCCAGATCGTACAGGTCGTAGATGTCGTAACCAACACCCTTGGGGTTCGCCGCCTTGCAGCCAGGGGGCAGCCAGATGTTGTCGATACCAATTGCTTTAAGTTTGGGGATTTGCTCAGCGAGGCGCTTCCAGTGCTTGTGGTCATCTGGCACGTTCCATTCAAAGCCCTGAAACAGGGTATTGTTCTCGGGCGTGGCCTTTTGTTCTGTCTCTGGGTGAGCATGGCCGTAGTCCAATCGGAGCAGACAGCCCCTGAATGGGATAGACCTACCTTCAGAAGTCATCGTCAGGGATGTGCCTGCTTGGCTGGACCGGGAATGTGCTGCGAGATTTTTGAGTTGGAATGGTGGAGGGGCGATGCAGTAATCTGGGCAGACGGGGTAGGGCTGGTAGGGCTAGTATCTGCCGGCGCGTCTCAAGTCCACCAAGATACTCGAGCCAGCAATGCTCTGTACTCGCGCCTTTTGTACTTCTACCCACGGCACCTAGCGCGTCGAGACCCTGTCTGAGCTTGTAGCTGAGCAGGTTTGTCTATCCATTGCCTCAGCCGCGTTGGCGACCAAGAAAAGCCCTCGCCCGCATTGTGAATGGTCCAGATTCGAGTGGGTACCGGGGCTGGTCAACAATCAGTATCGGTGACGTCAGCTCGCGCGACGTAATCATGCCGTGAACCTAAATGTGCCGCGGAAACACTGGCTGTCGACTTGTAGGTTGGCCGAGATAACAAAACATCATGTGCTGTAAGTTGTTGGACATCCAGCACTAGGGAGACGAGGTCAGCATGTCGGGTGGAGACTTGGGGGAAAGATCGTCGCTGCTTTGACAGCCGGGGCGGGAGCTGTGAGCAAAGCGAGCTATACTAAACGCGGCTAGCGGCATCGAGAAGGGTGCATCTCAGTCTCCGCTATCCTCGGCCATGATTGGCACGCCATCTGCGGCTTGAGATTGCAAAGTAAATGCTCGTGGCGACCGTACGAAAGGTGACGCTGCGCCGAGTTTTCACTGTTTGCCTCATACCGCGGTACTACTCGCCCAGTACCGCGTCCACGCCGCTGCCTAGATTTGCCTCACTGACGGCAACCATGGACAGAGCTCTCGACCACCAGGAACAAGGCAAAGCGCTCGCTACACACGCCGCTCCCTGCAAAACTATTCAACCGCCTTCATCTATGCAATCACCACAACCAACAGTCTCAACAGCAGCATCAACAGACCAGCAGCCCAAAGCAACTGGACCGGATCACGCAAAGCGCAGAACTCAACACATATCCACAACTTCCGAGAAGCGCTTCAAGATGGGGCCTTCGACCTCTTCACAAGATGACAAAGATTCTGCCGCATCCAGAAGCCAGTTGATTGTTCGCTTCTACGACCCGGATATCAAGGCCAAAGACGCGAAGAATCGCACGCTCGAAGAGATCCTCGCCTGGCCGGATTCTCAGTTAGAGGCCTCTCACAACTTCGTTCAAATGTTATTCCCACTGCCAGAGGGCTCCATGTACAACTGGGAGGCACCAGTGATTGACCTTGCCGTCATGCAAGCATTCCGCTCGCGCAGTGAACTTCGCCAGCAGCTGCGCCGGAGCTTCGAACGCATGCTCAGTTTCTACGGCTTCAGGGTATCTGCCAAATCGGAAACAGAGCTAAAGAAACAGAACGAGGACAAGGATGCAGCAGAAACGAAGGCAACAACCGCGGGGACCAGCAATCCACTACTAGCATCTACACCTGACGCCGCTGAGCAGAAGATGGCTGATGCCGGTCATACAATGTCCTCAACACAGGCTGCTACTGGAGTGACAAAGACGGAAACCTATACGGATGCTTCCGCCCCCAAGGTTGGCATTTCCTTGAAAAGAAAATCCACTTTCCCACCTGGGGCACATAGAAACGTCTCCGTCTCTAATCCACTTCCGTACCATATCATCCGCGCGTCCAACTGGCGCAAACAATTCCAGAACTGGGCCGTCCGGTTCGACCACAATCACCTGCGCATCACACGCATCATTCGCTGTCTTCGTGTGCTTGGTCTGGAGAAAGAGAGCACTGCATTCTTCGCAGCTCTGGAACGTGTATTCAACCATCCCGGGATCGAAATCAGTGACAAGAGCATGACCTTCTGGCGGTTGGCTGCTACGCGCCCACTACACTGGGCTCCCGATGACCAGAAGTGCAAGTGGCTGGAGGCCTGGGAGAAAGAACAGGATAGTCTGAAGAGAACAGACGAGGCATGGTAAGTATGGTGTCAGAAAAGCCAAGTCTATCACATTTGGTGAAGATTCACAGGGGCAGCAAGAAGACGGTTCTGAAGTGTAACTCTCAAGGGACATAGAGATGGGGGAGTATTCGGTGGTGCAGTATCTTTTTTACTTCACAGTCCGTGTAGCTGCTGCTTGCGGTGTTTTGGTCAAGAATCATGGCAACTCTTATCGAGGCCAAGGCAAACATCAACTTTTCAAGGCATTTATAAGTTTGGGTAAGCCACGGACAGCTTTGTAAGCCCAGCCCAGCCCAGCACCAAACCGCCACGTGGCGCCGTAGCGAACGATCGTTTCTCGGACGGTTCCGACACTCGCACACCCTCACCTCAAGCCCCTTTGCAAGCCACTGTTTTGTAATCTTGGGTGTGATCTTTGGCAGACGCTCGGTGTGAGCATCGAAACAATCCACTTGCGTCACAGTTGAATATCATCGATTGACTCCCATTCTACACTTTGTCCAGACATTTCCCAATTCATTCCATAATACCATCGGGTTTCCTTTTTTTTTGTGTGTATATGCTCTTATTTAGCTAAACTGGCCCCCAAGTCACAGAACACGATATGACGCTTGAGTGACCACGGTACGAAATCTAGATTTGAAAGAGAAAAAACTTGAGGCTCTTATTCGGGAGGTGAAAGTAACATGGATAATATCACGGTCACTTGTTCCAAAGGTTTATTTTCTGTGGCGACGCGAAAATCTAACACTTGGCTTACAGATCCGTATATGTAGTTGAATCTGACAAGCCCCACTTGGCCATGGAAGCTCACGCACAGCAACAGCACAGGCCGCTCGGACCGCTCAATGGTCCAAATACTGTTCTTCAGCCTCTCCGTCTGACCCAAAGATATCTTTATGGGAATGGTGCGGAATCCACGGTGATGTGAGGGAGTCCAACGTGACCATACACAGTCACCACCGAAGCGAAGAACTAACACCGCCACACTGGGATGAGTGCATTGCTATAGGCTGCGACACACTACTTACGCGTAAGGCGTGCGTACACCGCCAGGGTAAGATGTTGTGTAGGTGGCGCGTAGGGCGCATCAATCGTAAGTCAGAGCCAAGACAAAGGCTTGATTACCGTCATCATGCCCACGCTCCGTCCTGCCTCTGATCCCAAGACCAGCAGTTCCGCTCTTGGCGCTCACGACGACAAAAGTGGCAGGTCTACACGGGAAAGACGGCTACAAGCCTTTTTTATGCGCTTATACAGCCAAGTCCATTCTGATAGTGGGCTACGAATACTTCCTCTATCGGGTCCTGTCTCAAGCTTGGACGACAGATTCTGGACTAAAAGGATATTCGGCACTCCAAAATCTTACCACTCAACCGTCCACAAGCGTATTTGTCAGTGAGGAGACTGCACTTGCACAGCCAGCGGTGGGGGTCGACTCTAGGATTCTGAACACATGGATACAGGCCACGCGCTAGAAGAGACTCTTTGACACTACTCAGACGATAACTGGTCCAGACGATTATCACCTCGTAGGGCTGATTATTCTGGGAATTGCTGAGCCACCAAGCACATGGAAGCACTCTAAGCTCCGTAACGGAGGCTTAGTCTGTATGCCGACGGTAAGCCGAAGGATGACGATTTCGTATCTTTAACGTTCACAGACAGTCGTTCCCTCTCCTTGCTATCTGTATTCTGGAGCTCAAAGCGCTGGAGAGGTAGCACTAACATGCAACATGTTGTCCGAATCCTCACTGTGCTCGGTTGCTCAGAGTCACTACCGATCTCGAGAGCTCGAAGTCTACAAACATGCTTCTGAGGCATCCTGCTAGCTTGCAAATTTTCGTACGTAACAGTGATATCCATGCTCGGCAAGCCAGTGACAAGCAGTCATAGACAACCCACGCTTATGGATCTCACTCAATACGCGTTGGCTTCTAGCTCCTACACCCGAGCTCGAGGGCCTTATGACCGCACTCACTTCCTCTAAACAAGGTAGGAGAAAGCACGAGCAATGTGCTGATGTCTTTTGCCATCATGTGGACTGGTTCAACAAGCAATTTACTGAGTTTGGAATGTTGTTCGGGCTCTTCTGGATGGAAATGAGAGTTGGTGTGGGCTCCGTAATCAGCCATGGCTTCAACCAAGCGTACGGCCATGGACAGTGACATCCAGGCAGGAAACCGAGTGCTGCTACTCAGGAAACGTATTCAGAAGCAGGGTAAAAGGCATATAAGGGAGGCTTTCCCCAGCTTCACAAATCCCCATCACGCTCATCAACTCTCCATTCATCCATCAACACCTACCACCAATCCAACCACTCAACACAATGCTCAACTTCGCCGTCCTCGCCCTCATAGCCACAGCCGCGACCGCTTCTCCCGTTGGAGAAGCCCGCAACCCACTCTCGAAGCGCGAGATCAACCCCAATACAGTCAATATCCTGACCGCCGAGCAACTGACGACGCAGCGCAACCTGCTCCTCCAGGCGCAGTCGGAATCCGCGCGCGAAGCCATCCTATTCCCCAACCCTCCCAACGCCGCAAACGACACGTTCCAATTCATCAACAACACGGTGACTCCTCCCACAGGCGGCTCCATCTTCCTGTCGACCGTGAACAACTTTCCAGCGCTGGGCTCGACGGGACTCGCCGCCGCCGTCGGCTTCGTGAACCCCTGCGCGCTCAACACGCCGCACTGGCACCCGCGCGCCAACGAGTTCCTGACCGTCGTCCAGGGCACACTGGTTGGCGCCATCTTGCTCGAGGACGACCGCGGCTTCGGCAATGTCGTTGGCGGCGAGCCCCCCGTCATTGGGCCCTACAAGCAGATCGAGACGACGCTGGCAAACTACACGGGCATGCTGTTCCCCAAGGGCCTTGTCCACTGGCAGTTCAATCCAGAGTGCGAGCCTGCGGTTTTCGTCGCGGGCTTCGACGTCGCTGACCCGGGGCGTGTCGAGGCTGCGCGGGGCTTCTTCTCGGGTACTCCTGATGAGGTGCTTGAGGCTAGCACGGGATACTCGGAGTTTTTGACGGCAGACCAGATCAAGGGGTTGAGGCCTACGCTTACAAGTGACTTTACTAGCATCGTCGAGAGCTGTGCTAAGAGGTGCGGTATCCCGTTTGAGGCTGAGCCAAAGCCTTCTGCTTCTGCTTCCGCTTCGCCTTCGACTTCTCAGGTCTATCCTGCCGCTTCGAGCGGTTACTAAACGAAGGGAGTCGGAGGTTGCAGCTAGATCAAGATTAGCTTGGATGAGCGTGGTAACATGAGGGTAAGGGAGGAGGATATAGACTGATGGTTTGCTTATACATGATCCCTCGTTTTAGACTGTGCCATTTACACTTTTAGAACAGAGCTAGTAATAGCGATAAAGAAATCCAAACACTCGTTTTCCAAGACATGGCTTTGACATCAGTATTGCTTTCGCGGACACGAGTTGGTGGGAAGACAGGTTTTCGAGTGCAAGTACCAAACAGCATTGGGTGAATGTAAAGATGCGATTTCGATAGCAAGTCTGTAATTCAAGTAACACGGAAGCGGAATATCGCCCGTAATACCATGACATTCCTATGTCTTCTGGATGGATTCCCTTCTCTTCATATTCAAAATTCTAGAACTCAGAGATAAGGTCGCCCCTTCGCTTGCCGCGCATCTCCCACTTTCCCTATTCCTGTGTCAGCTGCTGCATTGCCTTTTCCCTACTTTCTTGCCGCAGGCTATGCTGTTCCACTCACCTCAGTCATGTATCCAGCCGTGCCCAGCAAGCCCGGTACCAGGACAACGTAGGCAAATGTGATCCAGGCTGTTCGTGGTGTCCAGCGGAAGTACTTGTGACGGTTCGTAGTCATGTCTAGCCTCTGCGTCAGCAGCACATTCTACCCATTGACCCTAGCTCCCAAGCCCGCCGTCTCATCCTCCAAGCTGCTACTTCCAGTCCCCATACGCAATTCCCGATCATCGAATCATCGTGTCGTAGACGTCGGTAGGGTGAACGTACTGGCCCATTTGATAATGGCGGGATCCGCGTGGATCACTGTTGCTCTGGTTAGCCATTGCGCCTCTAATGCGTTCTTCTTGAGTGCAAGACATACTGCCGTGGTTGTGGCCCGCCATCCTGCGGAATGTAGGCTGCATATTTGCAAACTTTGCGCGTTGTGTAGAGAGCCGCGGTTGGTGAGGTTGCGATTGTGGAGGTGCGCATGCGATGAGGTCGGCGGATGCGGCAAGCGCCGTTGGGTCTTGGCATTCTCAGATCACCCCCGGCTCTCAATCAACTGGTACAGCAGCATGTAGACTTTTTTAACTTGGAATAATTGCACCATAGTTAGAGCTTCTTCGCATTCATGAAAACTTATAAGTTATTCTAATTATCCTTTACACTAAGTAAAGTCCTAGTCTTTAGGTGTGCATAGAGACTTATTTGGGTGATGTTAGATGCCTTTGTTGGACAGCCCATGAATCGGTTTCACCGGTTCGCCGAGAGCCCGGACAACCAGTCAATTAATACAACAGATACCGATAATTGTTTACAACTGCGGAAATTGGCTCTATAGTGTTCTTGGTATATATGCGTTTGGTCTTGTTTTGCTCGCCTGCATTGTTAGCGCGGTCATAATGACACACGCCATGCGGTGCATTTCTCATGTTGCGCCCTATGGCTCTGCATCTGGTATCTGACATTTACAAGTATGCAACATACTCGAAATAACGCTTGCTGGGATAGGACCGGGAGATATCGTTGCGTTGGCGCAACACCGATAGCCGATCTCGACGGCATATCTCTCCGGGGTAGGCTATCCTAGGTGGGCTGAGCGCCGAAGCTTGTGACGAAATCTCGATGGCTTCGTGGAAGTGCCTCGGTGAGATTGAAATCTTATAGTATAAAGGTCGCCAACGTCTGCGCAGGTCCTCGGTCTACTCTTCTCATCCTACCAGCAGCAACAAAGACATTCTTCGGCACAGAGGAGAGTTGCAGATATGGCGAACCAACAAGGAGCTACAATCACAGTTCATTGGTGCGTGCACTACCGCCGCGAGTCGCTCCGCATCGCGATGAAAATATCTAACAGCACCACAGGCTGAACAGATCCCGTGGCCAGCGCATCATTTGGCTTCTAGAGGAGCTCAACCTCGAATACAACATCAAAGTCCACAAGCGCGATGCCAACAAGCGCGCAGGCCCCGAGCTCAAAGCCGTGCATCCCTTGGGAAAGTCTCCAACTGTTACCATCAGACCAGCTGGTTCTGAAAAGGACATTGTCATTGCCGAGAGTGAGACAATCATGAGCTACATCTGTGACCACTTTGGACAGCAACTGGTTCCCACAAGGTACCCAGAGGGACAGGAGGGCGTGCTCGGCGCAGAGACGGAGGAGTGGATGAGATATAAGGTGGGTCTTGTTTCCATCCAGTCTCACTGACGACGGGGTGTTGGGCGAGGCAAGAGAGGTGGCTTGCTTTTCTGCGTGCAGCTGCAGCATCTTCATTTCTCGAAACAGCATCACGTGACTCGAGAATGTACGAATCGCTGACCATGATGCAGTTCCTGATGGACTACACCGAAGGCAGTCTGTTCACCATTTTGATTCTCGCTCTCGTTACCGGCAGTAAGCACTCATTCAACCGCTTCTCATTTTGCACCACTGACACGGCCCAGACATCAAGAGCGCCCCCGTTCCTTTCTTCCTCAAGCCCATTACGGGCGGCGTCGCCTCTAAAGTCGACAGTTCCTTTGTGAACCCGGAGCTGAAGACGCACTTTGACTACCTGGAAGAGTACCTGGTGTCGTCCCCCTCCAAAGGCGAGTTCTTCTGCGGCTCCAGCATCACGGCAGCAGACATTATGATCCACTTTGGGCTCGAGGGCGGGTGCCAGCGCGTGCCGCTGAGCGAGACGAGTTACCCGAATCTGTACAAGTACATGAGGAGGCTGCAGGAGCGGGATGCGTACAAGAGAGCAGCGAAGCGAGTGGAGGAGGCGAGCCAGGAGAAGTACGTGCCATTCAGCGACACGAAGCTTTAGCAGTGTCGAGGCGTTGTAGGGCGGCAGCCGGGTTAGTAGATAATACCAGGCCTCTTCTGCAGCTGTCTAGTCGTGCTTAGACATGGCATAGGGCATCTCACGTCAGCGGATGCCCTTGGCTGCAGCACATGTTCCTCGCCCGCCCTCTGACGGGAAGTCCGCTTTTTAGCCTCCCATGAGTGGATGACCTGCAGATTTGGGGGCGAACTTCAGCCGCGCGCCGGTAGCTCGGGGATGGGCGACGACAGTGACTCGTAACGTGCAAACGCGGTAATGATTACATGCGGATGGCTGTGGGCGGCCCGTGGTGTGCAACGGCCACGTTATATACCTGGGGGCGCATTCGCTCGACGCCGGCGCTGCGTCGTCTCTCCCCTCGTGCTCGCCCTCTGAAGCTCGGGCCACTCCGGCGCTCGCCAACCCCAGGCCGCCCATCTCCAATACTTTACTCAGCGATCCATCAGCAACTCTGTCTGGACCTCCGCCTTCCTCGCCCTCCTGCACTTGTCTCTGCACCTGGGCTCCTTGTCGCCTGACACTACACAGCGCTTGCCTGGGTGCGGTCAGCCAATGTCCGACCGTTCGGCCGCCAATTCTCGACAGTTTGTATTTCAAACATCTGACCAAGCAGGTGGAGCATCGCAGCAGTATCCACCGCCGCAGTACGGCAGCTTCAATGCTGAGCAAGAAACAAGCACAGCCGATGCTCCAGGCCCGGCGCACGGCTACGATGCCTCTGCGCCATACCATGACTTTGACGCGCAGCACCATCAAGTAGCTGCCGCCCACTTTGCGACTGGCTTCGGTTTCAGTCCCTCGGCGCCTGCAGGCTGGGACTGGACCCATTCGATTGACTTTGCCGACTTCACAACCCACCATGAGCCTCAGGGCGAACTGGTCCAGGAATTCCAGAGCCAAGTCAATCCCACCAGCGACTTCAACATCCCGTTCCCCGTCCCCACGGGAGAGTCCGCATACCAGCCATTCCACCACCAGCAACAGAGCCCAACTACGTCCACACCCAATGCTACCCAGACCCAAATCCCACTGTCTCCTCCGCCCCCGCCTCCCCGACCACAGCAGCAGCAGACCAGGCCCGTTGTCCAGACAGCTATGAAGCGCAAGATGGATTCCGAGCCATCTTCCGCCGTGTCGCAGACTGGCGGCACGGCCCCAGAACCGGCGCCAAAGCGCCAGAACAAGTCGCGGCGGTCATCGAACGCTTCTGCTTCGTCGCCCGTCGTGCAAACCGCGGCTGAGGCTCGTTCGGCGACAACAACAACACGCACCGCAGCACCTCCCACGCCCAATGGAACCGTGTCGCAACCGGCAGCGCTAGAGAACACACAGACTGGGCGACGGGAGGAGCAGACCAAGGGTACAGGACCACAAGGCAGAGTCATCGATGTGTCGTCGCCGAGAAAAATACAAGACGCGCCTGCAGGACTCGATATACGGCCCGCGGGAAAAGTGTTTCCCATACAAATTGGCTCCGAGTTATTCAGATTGTCGGGGGCCTCGCTTTCGTCGGATGGTAAGCATGCGCCAAACCCCAAGCAGCAGAGCAAGGCCTGTCAGCTAAGACTATTAGAGCACCCTCATATTTCTCGCACTTTTTCGGCCAGCAGCTACAGGACAACGGCGGTCGGGCTGGTGACGTGAGGACCCTGTACATTGACCGCGACCCCGATACATTCCGTGATATTGCTCTACACCTACAAGGCTATCACATCACTCCGAGAGACGCTGAGCACTTTGTGAAGCTCTTTGCAGACTCCCAATTCTACTCGCGTAAGCCCATCGGCAAATATCGTATAGGATGCCGGCTGACAACAATAGTACCTCGACTAACGAAACAGCTCTTCAACAGCGACATTTTTGTGCGCATTGGACGAACCCCTTTCCAAATACCGCGCGATCTCTTCTCCGGTCCAGGCGATAGTCCAAACTTCTTCTCGCTGGGATTCGCACATTTCTTCTCAACGCCCTCCGAGGCGTTCCCTGGACTGGATCGCGATGCGCTGCTCCGTCCGCCGTCTATCAAGCCGCCCGCCGTACCGAGTAGAAATGGAGAGACTTTTAGTGAGCTGATCCAGCTACTGCAAGGCTACAATGTGGAGATTCGAAACAGTGCGCATCGATCTCGGCTACTGAGAGATGCGCGTTATTTTCATCTCAAGGGGCTTGAACAAAAGCTCATACCGTGTGAAATCTCGTACAATCTACGGCGCCAGCAGTCGGAGATTCTCATACGCCTCGACGATATTCGCCAGTCCGGTGTATCCTTTATTCCTGACAAGGCGTTGAGCGAATCAGATTCTGGATCGGTGTCTGGTGCGCAGCCAGTAAACGCATCCCCGTGCGCACCACCCATTAGTAAAGTGGACAGCCCTGCGCCATCAATTACAAGTAGCAGTGCCGTCTCGCGAGCGGGCTACGTATCCTATGCGCGTCCATTTACGGACGATCATGCAAACAGCAATATAATGGTGCTTGAGATTTCGGCAGCCGAGTCGACGTCGTTGTTCCTCCCTTGGTCGGCACCCAAGGCCCCACAGTATAGTCCACTGGAAGTGGAATTTCGAGCAACATTCCACAACTCGACGCTCGCACGCATTACTTCCTTGTTCTCGGTAATAGCTTCGAAGATGGGCTTGCCAGCCACGCAGCCTCTGGGCCTCATGTATCTGCAGTCTGGCGGAGGCGTCGCAGCCCAACCAGTCAGCCCCGCCAATTCGGGTGTTAGCGATCGCCGCGTTCGCGTGCGCCTTGAGACTGACTGCGCCCTTGAAATTGACGGATCGCCAGCAGAGCTCCATGTGGACAGTGACACCAGGCGCATTGGTATCCGCCGACCAAGATCCAGTACGTGGTTATGGGGTGGCAGTAAGCCAGACTTCGAGGCCTCCCATCTGCGAGCAGACGAGCAAGACCCAGAAGTCGAGTGGACTGTCAAACGCGCCCACTGGCGCCTCCGTGTCGAGCCCCTCGCCCCCGACGCAGAAAGCGATGGCCGGCGCATGCAAGTCGTACTCTGTGGCGTAAGACTCGAGGTTTTTACCGCCGAGCGTGCTCGTAACGCCTCGCGTGGTTTCCTAAGCTGACCATGATATCGCACTTCCAACTTGTATATACCTACGCCTATGAATTTAGTGCTTGCCTAAACTGTCACATACGACCACAGGAAATTTCCGATTGCATCGAAACCCGTCAGATCTTCGTTTAATTAAATGGTTTGCCGGCGAGCTAGTAGGCAGGTGGGTGACCACTGGCGAATCCTCGCTGTTGTATGTCTTTTGTTTTTGCCGTCGTCGTACATCCTTGTTGTTTGATCGTCATCTCGCCTTCGATGGCCCGTCCAGATGTCGAATAGCTGGTTAGCGGGTAGTGTAATGCATGCCTTTGCCAGACCCACCCATGTTAATAACGCCCAGGGAATGCTGGCATGAGTATAGCAGCTGTCAGACTGAAACTTGACATATGTTTATCTGCACTTCGAGGTAGTGGGAAGATGGGGCCTGGCTCTCCGTGGCACTCTCTGCCATCTCCTTTTGCTGGGCTCTCCTGCCCCTTGGCCTTTTCCGGCTCCCCGAACATTCCCGATGAGGTGAAGTGGTGGATACAATGGGGGCCTATTTTGCCCTCGAGTAGGATTTGACATGAAGAGGGGTGGCTCACAGTGGCGGCGTGGCTATCAAGCACACATTGACTGTGTAAATGGTTTGCTTCACTACAATGTCCTCTTTCTGTTTTTCTTTCTTTCGTTATCCGCATTGAGTTTATACAGCACTACACTAAGACGCGAGATTAGCGTGTGTATGCCGTAGACTAATGTAGCACGATACAAGCCAACTTGACTTGACCAACGCTACAAGACTTCCGTCGACTTCCGTCCGATCCTGTCAGCCCCAACCAAGACGTGCAAAAACGTAAGAGCGAAAAAAAGGCCAGAAAGACCGCAGAAAGAAAGAAAAAAAGCAGCACCCCCAACAACTCATTGAGAAAATTCAACTCGTTGAAAAAAGGGGGGGGGGGAAGTGGGCTTCACCTATGAATCCCGGAATGTAACCGCCCTCTTCATCACCACCATCTTTTTCTTTGACTGATCGATAAACTTGGCCTCCTCTTCGAATATCTCGAGGGCAGCATCCGAGTGCAGAAAGGTGATAAACTGCTGCAAGTGCAGCTCGTCCTCGAACAGCATCTCCCCAATCACGTCCCAGTCCATGGACTCGTCTACGTTGCTGCCCACCAGGATGCGCGTGAGGCCCATGGGACACTCGGAATCTTCAACATGGTAGTGCCGACTCCAGGATAACGGGTACACTTTGCCGGCTATTTTCTTGACCAAGGGCGCAAAAACATTCTCGTTGTAGTCCAGAAACTCTTCAATCGTCGTGCCTTCTTTGCGGCGCGTCAGCGCCGTGAGAACCACGGGGTACTTGGTGGGTGGATTTTTGTTCATGGTTGGTTGGTTGGTTGCCTCTCTCTCTCTCTCTCTCTGTCTTGCTTCGAATGGGAAGGGGAGGGGAAGCGCTTCCTTTTCTCTCTCTCGGTCCGATGCGTGTGGGGCTCCTGGGGTAAAGTCCAAAGTTGCGGTGGGGGAGTCAGAGGGGCTTCTTCCCAATTTAGCTCGAGGATGACGTGAAGAAGGGACGGTTGGAGCTGGATAGGTATGTAGTATAGGATTGCAGCTGAGCTTCCCCTGGATGGCTATGCCTTAAGGTTATGGAGGATCGGGATCTCACATGGTTAGGACTGCGTCTCGGTTATTATTATTATTGTTCCATTAGAGTCTAGTGAGCTCGAGGCTATGTAAGACTTTGGCCGAGGCCGTTCTAACTAGATTTATTTACAAATACGAGTTTGTGCTTGAAGTGTGTCTGTGGTGCTTCGGCCTTTGTCTAGGTAAGCGATAGCTATCGCTTACTAGACGCCTAGTGCTAAAGAGCATTTTGATAACAG